TGGGGGGTGGGGGCGTAGGGGGTTTGCATATACAAGATGTAAATAAATATATTTTGCAATGCTCAGTGGTAGATAGAGGTGTTCAATCTGATCATGTTTTGAAGAAAGCAGTCTTCTGGGATTTGGCACTGTGTATATGTGGTGTTAACCGACGTTTCAGAGGAACATATCGCCTCTACCCTGAAGAAGGAGGCTATACGTTCCTCCGAAACGTCGGTTAAGACCTCATATACACGGTGCCAAATCCCAGAAGACTGCTTTCTTCATAGTCACCGCCGTGAAAGCCTCAAATCTGATCATGTTTTGTCAATACACCCATGTCTGGAAAGCTTTGCTTATGCACTGGAGCATAAATCATTAACAAAGTTTTAAAATATATATGTGGAAGAATGCAGCACATTAATGACACAAGACTACAACAATTAAACATAAAAGTATACTACTAGGCATCCAGCATATAACAGACCAATATCATTAATTAATATTGGAGTTCAATTATTCCTGCAATGAGTAAAATAATCTTACCCTTTGGTACCTATCTTTCACATAGGATTTTATCAATGCACTGGCCTTACCAACTATTCAATAAAGTTCTACTTTAGACAGAGAGATAGACAGATATTGACACAGTCAAAAGTTTTCTTCAAATCTCAGAAAATGCCGATGAACATTATTGGTATTGATGTTGTCCAGCNTGTGCATGCTTCAGCAGAACAGTTTTTTTTCTTCCCATCTATACTGCAAGAAACAATACAAAAATTATAATAGAATCAAAGTACACTCTCACTTTTTTGAGATTCTACGGTCCTTCTTTAGGCTACACCAAAAGATGCTTAAAATACAGAAATACGATTTGGATGAAGTGTTGTAGTAACACTGACTTCATGTTTCTTTCTAATTTCACTGGGCGTAGTAAGCACAATCCATATACATAAGTAACACACAGATGTAAATTCATGCGTAAATGTCGACTCTCGTTTCACAACATCAAATCAAAGTCCCTAGTTACTAATTAATCTAATTAGTTGCACAACATACCTCAACGGCATACACACATTTTCAGAAAGTACGCAGTATTACTGAAACAACCGCCCAAGCCTTCAACCGAAATTTAAGATCCTCTGATTGGCTGACCAATGTAATCACGTGTGGAGGTGGGGTTCGAATACCTCCACCGTAGCCCTGTGAGTCGTATGAGGCGACAAAGAGGGAAGTCTCGAATCATAAACAGTAAAATATGGTCGCTAGTCCCACGGGACTCGGGCCCGAGAATAACTGCGCTGGCTAGGACCAGCAGCCATTGTAAACGACAGACCCGTCTTCTAGTCTGAGAGAGCGCCCCACATCAACAAACTCGCAGCTGTCTGACAGTAATAAAGATCTGGTTGTAAGCCCCAGATGGGTGCTCGGCACCAAGAGAGACTGGCCGACTGACCGTCGGTCGTAACGTAAGACTCGACTTGACTCGCTGTAGATAAGAATCCAGGAGACAGAATACACAGAAGACAAACATAACCCAGAAGAAGTCAGAAATGAAGTCTTTAGTTTATGTGGTATTATCATTGTTCGTATTTGCGAAGTGTTATGGCGTGACCAGAGTGGTTTGAACGGCTGTTGTACTGCGATGTGGAAAGCAAATGGAAAAACTACCACATTATCACTTTTCCTGGATAGTCTCTTTCCAAAAACAGAGACACCATGTATGCGAACCAGAAGACGAGGAAGAAGACGTAAGAAGATGCTGGATGACCTTGGGGACAGAAGAGGATATTTTTAATTGAAAGCGAAAGCTCTAGATCGCATTAAGTGGAGGAACTGTTTGCGAAGAGACTGTGGACCTGTCGTCTGACAGATTACTGATGAATGAATGAATGATTGGCTGACACTTATGCGATTCGATTATTTGCGATAGGTGTATTATGACCGATTCCAGTCATTTCCAGACTGTCTAGTTCATGTAGCTGAACGTAGATGGCTGGTCAGCATGTTTCCCTCTCCCCTATAGGAGTTACTCCCCTCTGGTCAGGGACACTCAGAGATCAGAGAGTACTCAACAGGCTGTGGTACATGTAATACTAATTTTGTGCAGCAGATGGATCTGCCAAAAAACCTGTTTATCGTCTACCACCTAGGCCGGAAGGGCATTGCCTAGGCCTTTTTTGTATTTACAGTTATTTTTCCCCACAATAAAAATTCATCTTTCGCTATTCTCACGAAAACTACAAATTCAGAGAAATTGTTTTTTACTTCAGTATTGGACGTTAAGATTTGGACTTGGGATTTTTTTACTGTAATGTCAATAACACCAACAATGACCTCTCGGAAGAAATCATTACGCTTTCTGTCTTTAAAATGTTTCAGTAGGGACCTTTATATTGAGGTGGGCGAGAACTTTTAAATGGAATCGGAGGCCTAAAGGCAATACTAAGGGAGCCCGAGAAGCGTAGTCGATATAGTGACAAAGACAACTTCAACCTTTTTATAGAAAGATCATTGTCTTCTAGGATTCGCATCAAGTAATTTTGTAAACTACACGATGTCACTTTTTTATTCTAATTCTAAAGATGGAGACAGAACTTTCCTCTGAAACGTTAATGGAGGCTTCAGATTCCTCCATGCAGACATCTAATAGACTACACGGCTAACATCCATTTTTCAGCCCTGAAGAAGGAGGCCTCGAAACGTTTCCAGATATACCTGTGAGACACCCCGCTCTTCTACAACAAACATGGAAAACTGGAAATTCCTCTGAAACTAAACTACACGCGGTCACAATCACTATTCTATACTGAAAAAGGAGGAAAGAAGTTCCTCCGAAACGCTGACACCTATGTACCAAACAACACGGCTTCACAATCCCAGAAGACGGCAGTCTTAACTTGCTGTTTGTATGTCATGAAATGCATTTGTACAGCTGATAACTTTTGTTTGATGCTTGCCACATTTTAAATACAGTTCAGCTTCTACACTTACCGGCCTTCTCCTTCGTAAGAGAATTACATGCCGGATAGTTCGGATAATAATAATTTCCATTCTGTGTTTTTTCTTTTTGTTACTTACGATTTTTTTAATTGGACAGACCTAAGCTTCATATGAGATAATAATATTGTTAATTAACTAACAAGACAAATATTTCGACTAAATCAATTTCTTAAATGTTAGCGCAGACTGCTCAAAGTAGTTTAATATGTCCGGTGTAGTAAGAGCACCCAGTGCGAAGTTTTATCAGAATCTCTTAACGGATATTGTCTCAGATATCTGACCACCTACAGACTTCGTTTTCCAACCTCAGTTCTATATACCGGCGTTCCTGCTTCGTTTCCATCCACCCAGATCAGGGTCAACCCTGTAAACAAAAGCCAGAAATAAAATTAATTTAATAAAATGAGATGACATGTCATTCCTTTATTCCGTCAGCTTTACATCATTCTGCCAATATTACCAATGACGCCACCTAAACATTAAACATCAAAATGCCTTCAGAGTTTGGTACAGAAATTGTGTTATGGCGGCTTCCACATATGACCGTACAGATCTCCTGCTTGTCCCCACTGCACAGTAGATAGCGTTGCTAGTAATGCACTGCACTTCTCTACGCTTCTGCATGGCCGGCAACCACTAACGAACACTAACCTAACACAGTTTGTAGGGTACATATGTGCCCACTGCCATCTGGTGTTATCAGATTTATAAAACAGACCCTCTTTTCGGGGTGCTTCAAATGCCCCGGGTATACTGCAGCAGTCCAATTAGAGTAGGTTAGCAAGTGTAACCGCACCATGCAGGAACCTCAACAGTGTTGTTGATTTACATTCTTAATTACAATGTACTACATGTGAACGAACTGTATTACTGTTAACACAAGATGATACACAACTGACCCCAGCACCAGCAGGCACCAAGGATGACATCTGGTCGTTCTGAGGGACAAGCAAGCTGCAGGTCACTTGAAACCCCCAGAACGGAGCAGGAAGTCTCAGAAACAAGACTTGGAAGTACGGAGTCGGCGGGACTTGTGTAACTCCGGTTCCATATTGGGTGCATTTATTTCTCGTAATGGCACGTCTTCTTGTGCCACAGCTAAGCTCTCTTTGCTTGTATGGATTTTAATATTCACTATGTTACCTGATCTATTTGAATCAGTTATGGCTTTTATGCAATTTACCTTTTCTTTCAAACAGTTATACACTTTGTACATTGCGTACATTCAAATTAAAAAGAAGCAAACATACACCTGTTGTATGGTATAACGTGCAAGCCGAAGTGGTAGGTGGACGAAGCAGTCTTGTCGTTCCATACAAACAAATTTAGATCTCTTACGAGTATGTCCGAAAATTACGTGGATCGCCGGTAGTTGTGTGTTTTACCGGATTGTCAGGAAATTGCACGTGACAAACAGGATGTGGATTGGAGGGAAGTCCAATCGAAGTTAGAAAAACTCAAAGTCCAGTCTGGTAGATAGGATAGATTTATTAAGTGAGTCAAACAGACGACTTACACCACTGGCTGCTGACTGTCGACTGTTCTCAGGAAGGTTATATTCAAAGTAACATACAGCATTGGTCCAGTCATAAGCATAAAAACTAATAACCTCTACCTCCCTCTCAGTTAGTGAACACTGCTCACTAACGCTTTGTTTACACTGTCGAAGTGTTGTTAGGTTTATAGCTGTGCGTGATTTTACTCTGCAGCCATACCCAGCTAATAAAATGCTGTGGCATTTTTAAGGGTTCCTGGCTGCTTGGTCTTGACAGCTTAGAATAACAAGAGGGCTTGGTGGTTGGTCCCTATGACATCCTAAAATAACAGAGGGCTCTGTTCCTTATGACACCCCCCTCACCAAAAAAAGTTTGATGTAGATCAATTACAGCAAACCTTTTACTTCATTCTATATTCAAAAAATGGGTTACTCCCTGGGTCTGGTTTGTGCAAATTTTTTCTTAATCTTTGTGCCACAGGTGAATTATCTTATTTCCTCTGAACCTGAGCAAAAAACCCTGTTATATCTTCCTCACTAGTTGGTTCGGAAGGCAATTTCTGAAAGTCTCATGCTTACATATCCCAATCTTGTCTAACTCAATTAAGGATTGAGTTAGTGCATGAGTTAATTCATCTTTATCCTGAATCTTTAATGTATGCACATTGGGTGCGATGATTGTATTATGGTGAGGGTTATTAAATGAATTTGTAATCTTTTTACATCCATTCACACAATCATCGTAAGCACCTTTCGGATTTATTTTTCTCCAACACCAGAAAAAGCCTTGCCGACAACCTTTACAACAATAGCAACATAAACATACACTAACCATAGTTCCAATTGAAATTCCACCAGTTACAACGTGTTTGTAATATTTGGAATAATCTACTTGTTCTTGTTTGTTTATCATTTGTTTAACATCATCCACCTTAATACTTGCTATTCTCAAATCATCTATTGATGACATGACATTATTCAAAGGAATATCTAATTTAATTTCATCGAGCTTTTTCTTTTCATGCTCGTCAAAACAACAGTCAAAGCCCCAGTTCACTTCAGGTATAAAATCTTTCGATACATTACTAACCATTGTCAATTTTGTGGATGCATATAGTGTAACGTGCGCAGTATAAGCTTTGCACCTTGATCGGAGGGTCATTCTCTATTTTCGGCATATACATAGTGTGGGGTATTATCTTCACACAAAATTGTAACTTGTTCCGTGGAAGGAGAAGTGTAGAGCCATTGGTTACTAAGTTGTAATGGGATCCAATAAGTATGGTACAAGGATATCAACTTTATTTCACATACTGAGTCTGGGATCTTCTGGGACGATGGATGCAACATACTGGCTTCACAATCCTCTCCTGGCACGTAGTTAGACAAAAGTATAGTATTTTTGCAAACATAAGTAATTTCATTGGTCATAAGNAGGTATAAAATCTTTCGATACATTAGTAACCATAGTCAATTTTGTGGATGCATATAGTGTAACGTGCGAAGTATAAGCTTTGCACCTTGATCGGAGGGTCATTCTCCCTCTATTTTCGGCATATACATAGTGTGGAGTATTATCTTCACACAAAATTGTGACTCGTTCCGTGGAAGGAGAAGTGTAGAGCCATTGGTTGCTAAGTTGTAATGGGATCCAATAAGTATGGTATAAGGATATCAACTTTATTTCACATACTGAGTCTGGGATCTTCTGGGACGATGGATGCAACATACTGGCTTCACAATCCTCTCCTGGCACGTAGTTAGACAAAAGTATAGTATTTTTGCAAACATAAGTAATTTCATTGGTCATAAGGCATACACTCAACTCGTCATAATTCATTTTGCCGTACTGCTTTCTTAATGCATCCGTAATTATAAATTCCTTTTGGGGAGCTATAAAAATGAATTTCTCTGTTGTTTTATCCTTCATAGGAAACGGAATAGCTTTGTACAAATAAAAATTAGTGGGTAGCAATAATGGAATTTCAATGATATATACTAAATATTGTTGATATACGTACGCATGCATAGTTATAATACGTGATAGTTCAGAAGTAGGAAATGTCAGAAAATCAAGACCCTGAGGCAATGTTTGCTTTGAAACGATGCCTTTTACAGCCCTTATAGTTAGTAATTTTGGCTGGAGGCTACCTTGACCTGCGTGTACAAACGCGTCTATAAAAACTTGAAAAGAGTGCTGGCTTTCTTCCATACCTCTTATAACTATTTTAATCTGCTCATTAATCAAATTTATTTGTTCATATTTTACCTTTAACTCGCTTATTTCTTCTCCCGTACGCTTTTCAAGCAATAACATACCATTTCTNTTTCTTAACAATTCTTAATTTTGATCCGCCTTCAGGATCATGCTGTTAATTGAATTAATTGTAGTCTTGATAATGGTCATTTCATCACTTGCAATATGCAAAAATTTGGTTTGCTCAGCTTCCAGTTTGCTAATATATTTATTACTATTCTGAACATCAGCATCAGTTGCTGTTCCGAACAAAAGGTGAAATCCTTTACCTGCAAAATTTATCAATCCTCTCTTTTCTCTTGGAGATCTACTTTTCCTAATGGGCTTATTTGCACTTGTATAGTCTATCAAATTTTCATTCAACTGATCGATATATTTAGCCTTAGACTTGAAGTAAGATAAGGATGGTTTACAGTCAGTAAGATAGCACCATTCCCGTGTTTCTAACTTGTTGCAATACTCTATCACTCTTCTCTGAAAGTTCTTGGTTTGACGCCGCAGATCCCTGTGTGGTTCTAAATCTACACAACTCACGAACTTCCACTTCATCGGAAATAAACGAACCGTTCCTAGCTCATCAAAGTATATGCCACTGGCTGAAGTCAGCTGCTCCATTTCTTGACCTTGGAGTATACTCCAGATTGCTAGGAGAGTGGTCAAGCTGATCCATCGGATAAAATGCATGCTGATCTTGTTCTGCAAAGATCAAACACAATAGGATTTTAAGCTATTCATGTGCACTTTTATGTGTTTTCTCTTGCCTATTCTTTGAATAATTGCGTTGGGGTATTCTATTTCTTGAATTTCGAAAGGTCCTTCCCATAAAGGATCTAATTTATTTCTTTGTTCTTTTGATAACCATACTGCAACGTGTTTTACGTTACAGAATACGCCGTAGAGATCGTTAATTGGTTTATTGAACAATCTACAAATATCGGCTACAATTAATTATCACAATGTTACGGGTTTCCACACTTTACAAATCCTAGAACAAAATCTCTTAACACTCTCTTCGAGAGTCTTCACTTATTAATAACGCGGGAGCTATACAAGTCTCCCTGAATTACACACTCCGAATATAACTGGTGATCACTGGTTATCGTACACGCGTCTGTAGCTCGTAACTTGCGAACTGAGAACTCGTTGGTAACGCACTGACTGGCTGACTGTCACAGTACAACTGACTGTGAATAGCCTTCGCTGCTCCTTATGTAGCCTTGATCGGACAATACGGCCACGTAATTGGCACCCTTGTGGCCTAGTAACCGCTGTTACTACCGTAACAATCCTGTTGCGTCACCGTTACGTTACCGTGCGGAGGAGGGGGAGGGGAGCGCTGACTCACCCGCCGCGTCACTGCTGGTGGGGGGGTCTCCTTCGTA